CTCAATTGAGATAATTAGCAATCACCTGGGAAAATTTGTAAGGATGGGCAGGTTCTGGGAGTTTTTGCCACATTTATGAATGTCATCATCAAATTCCGTTCCTAAGACCACATGCTACTTTTTTTTTTTGTCAAATAAATAAAACTAAGTTTTCTTTCCCTTCAGAACAGTTACAACACCTAACAAGCCCAGCTTCTGGTTTTGAGCCCAGCTTTCTCTTATTCATCTGGTGGTTGGAGGCCCTTTCTCCCCATCAGGGCTGAAAAAATTTACCAGGAAGGAGCTCTCTCTTCTGGGAAGGGACTTGGCTTAATGTCTTCAAAGCTAATTCTACATAGATGTAAGGGCAGGCCTGGAAAAGGGCCATAAAAGCTCTGTAAAGAACATTTCGGGGGTGCCTCGGCCTGGACAAGGTCTCTCTTTGACCTTCCCCGTGGAAATCGCAAGGCCACTCTGTCCCTGCCACACACATGGCCATGGTCATATATATTGCCTTAAGAATGGAGTCATGCTGTTTAATTTCTCTGCTTCCACTTACAGCAGCCTCCATTCAGGACTAGCTCATAGGGTTGTTTTGACAATTAAGTAAATTAATAATACATAGATGTATAAAGCGATTGATTAGAACCACGCTTGGCAGAAAATAAGCACCATATATGGATTTGCTTTTTTTTCTATGCTACAACTACATCGTTTTTCCTTCTTGCTCCCTTCCTTTCCCTTCAGGCCACGGTAATCAAAATAGTGTGGTATTGGGGTGCCTGGGTGGCCCAAGCTGGTTAAAAGTCTGACTCCTGATCCCGGCTCAGGTCACGATCTCACGGTTCATGAGTTTGAGCCCCGCATCAGGCTCCGAGCTGACAGCGCGGAGCCTGTTTGGGATTCTCTCTCCCTTTCTCTTTGCCCCTCCCCTGCCCGTGCTATCTCAAAATAAAGAAAGAAACTTAAGACAAAAAACGATAACAACAACAAAACCAGTGTGATGTTGGCATAAAGACGGACATAGACCAATGGACTAGGATACAGAGCCCAAAATAAACGACGCAGGTCCGGTCAAATGATTTTTCGTAAGGGTGCCAAGACCATTCAATAAGGTAAGGGCAGTGTTTTGAACAAATGGTGTTGGGAAAACTGGATAGCCATGTGCACAGTGATAAAGTTGGACACTTCTTACTTTCACCACGTACAACAATGAACTCAAACTGGAGCAAAAGTGTAAAAGGAAGAGCTAAAGCTATAAAACTATTCGAAGAAAAAATAGAAGTAAACTTTCATGCCAGTAGACTTGGCAATGATCTCTTGCATGCGACACCAAAAGCGCAAGCAGTAAAAGAAAAATCTTTAGAAAAGATCTCAGAAAAATCAAAAACTACCGCGCATCGGAGGACACGCTCCAGAGAATGAAAAGACAACCTATGGATTGGGAGCAAATATTTTGCACACCCTGCATCTGACAAGGGTTTAGCATCCAAAATACGTAAAGACCCCCCTACAGCTCAACAACAAAACGACCCAATTAACAAACGAACAAAAGGGAGCACCTGGATGGCTCGGTCGGTTAGGCATCCTACTTTGGCTCCGGTCATGATGTCACGGTTCATGAGTTCAAGCCCCGCGTCGGGCTCTGTGCTGACAGCTCGGAGCCCGGGGCCTGCTTTGGATTCTGTCTGTCTCTCTCTCTGCCCTTCCCCGCTCAAGCTCTCTCTCTGTCTCAAAAATAAATAAACGTTAAAAAAATTTTTTTAAAAACCCTGCAGGCGGATGTTTATAGCAGCTTTATTCATAACAGCCCAAACCTGGGAGCAACCAAGGTGTCCTTCAGCAGGTAAATGAATAAATAAACCTTGACCCATCCAGCCAATGGAATATCCGTACTAAGAAGAAATGAGCTTTCAAGCCATGAGAAGACCTGCAGGAACCATAAATGCGTATTAACAAGCTACTCCACACTTCCAACTGTGTGTGTCACATTCTGGAAGGGGCAGATCTATGGGCATGGTAAAGCGATGAGTGGTTGCCAGGGATTTGGGGGTGGGGGGGTCGGGGGGTGCAAGGTGAATGGGCGGAGGCCAGAGGTTTTTTTAGGGCCGTGGAATGATTCCATGTTCTACCGTAGCGGTGGCTACATGTCATACCTTTGTCCAGATTCAGAGATCGTACAACACGGAAAGTGAACCGTAATGTCAACTATGGACGCTGGCTGATGATGACGTGTCAGCG